ACCAGAGGCCTAGCAAGGGCACCACAGGCCTGCCATGGACACCACAGGCCTGCCAGGGGCACCACCGGCCTTGCAGGGGCGCCTCAGGCCTGTCAGGGGCACCACGTGCCTGCCGGGGACACTTCAGGCTTGTCAGGGGCGTTACAGTCCTGTCAGGGCCCAGGGGCACCAGGCCCGTGGTGTCCCTGCTAGGCCTGTGGTGCCCCTGGCGGTCCTGTGGTGCCCCTGTCAGGACTGTGATACCCCTGATAGGCCGGTGGTGCCCCTGGCAGGTCTTTGGGCCCCCGGGCCTCAAGGGGGGGGGGCCATGACCCATGTGACCCCCCCCCCTTGGATCCGCCCCTGGCCGCAAGTGACAAACACATTGAGTAGGTATGTAGTGTCAAAGCAAAATGCTGAGCTATAGGGGAAGATGGGGGAACACCGCCCTTTGGGGAACACCGCCCACCCCGACATCAGAAATATAAAAAGGTCTAGGGCGACAGCTGACTGTCTTTTGGCAGCGTGGCGACAACAGAAGTGCATGTATGGGCAGTGCACCGCATTGGTTTAGGTGATTTGCGAGAAATTCCTAATTTTACGTTTTGTGAGTACGTTTTATGCTTTTTCTAGCGGCTAGCATAATAATAAGCAGAAGAAAACTGATCTTATTTGACAGACATTAGTCCTGAAGTAGTATTTTTTTTTTTTTGCCATAATTAAGACTCATCCAAGCATTATACGTGCTCCTGCTCGAGCGAAATTTTGGCCGTGCTGCCATATTGAAAGATTTTTTACAACAATGCAGACACTTCAGTAACACCGCCCACTTGGGAAATTTGGTATTTAATAGCATATTGTGACACCTAACCCTGGAGAGACGCATTTCAAATAAAGAAAGAACGTTGTTATGTTTTCTTTTTAGAGGATCATTAAAGATTTCGAGAAAATGAAACTTTGGGACTTCAAGTCGTCTAGTTAGATAAGTGAGTACTACATTGTACCAGGGATACAATAAAATCGTTTCCACTGTATTTTATAAGCATACTAAAACGCCTCGTAATCTACGATACGAAGAACAACTTAATAGTCCAGCAATCTGCAAATTTCGTTGCCTGCTGAGCTCGGGCGGTGTTACCCAACGGTCGTTGTTACACCGAAAAAATGTAGACAGTTACTGAATGTGGAATAATGCAATTATGAACGACACTAAAAGAAAACAATTGGTTGATATGTTTGTAGAATTGATGCGACAATCCAATGAAATTGAGAGATTGATCATTTGGCCAAAAATTACGTGCCTAGACCCTAAAAGGTTAAGGGGGTCGGTGTTCCCCGTCTTCCCCTAATGTGTGCTATAGCGCGTCGTCCGATGCAAAGTTGAGATGAATCATGCATTCTACCCATAAACTTGTCGTGTTCGGCTCAGTTTCTTAGAGTTGAAAAACTTGTTATTGTTTTCGATTTATCCGGAGCTATTCGTAAGCAATTATATGGAACTGGGTTTGAATGTATCATCTGTGGCTAAATGTAGGACATGTATAAGTCGTTTCGCGTACTTTCATGTTTTATGGTCGCTTCGGATTCGATACTTTCGACTGGTGAAAATCTGCTTCAAGTCTATTGTTGTAAGCACCCGTTGTATGACATTTTCTAGCCTAGACGAATGAATTAACCCTCGCCCGCACATGGGGGGGTGGTTGCCACCCCCCCCCCCAGGCAGTCTTTCTGCTCTGCACTCAACATTTTTAGAGCTAGAAGGCTGATTTTTCGCATAGCTGCTCGTCTATCCTTTCTTGATGTCCACTGAAAATTTCAAGTTTCTGTGATTTTTGGTTTCGGAGATATGACCTTATTTTTCAGGTCATGTCATGACCCAAATGGCCAATTCTCAACATCTTGCGTTTGCCATGGGCCTTGTGAGCTTTCGACACCCTGATTTCGGCCTTTTTTGCCAGTCTTACCTCCCACCTATCATGGAACATGTTGTTCGACGATGTACAGGGGTCAAGGTCAGGGTCAAGGTCAACCTAGGTCATCTAAGATAATTGCGTTTTAGGCAAGCTGAATTTACTTTTTGTGAAGTTTTTTGACTGCATTTTTGGTAAAAGCTTCTCAGATCATGATTTCATGTGATATGGACCCAAAAACAATCGGTGCACACATCAGTATACACACAGACACACACAGACATACAAACACATATAATTGACCTTGACCTAACTTGACCTGAAATGACCTCAGCAGCAAAATTCTGGTCGGATAGTGTGACAAAGAGGTTCTAGCTGGCTTGGCACCAGAAAACAGCATCGTCATCGGTATTTGATAAGCAGCGCACTTGATATCCAACGGTGACCCAAAACAGCAACATTTTTTAGTTTGACCTGACCTGGAAGGTCAATGACTGACCTGAGAAGGTAAAACTGGGTATCATTGGATTCGTCTCTTCCCAAAGAATCTTTTTGGTCTTTACTGCTAAGCTCTATCTCCAACAGGAACGAAATGGCGCGGGGGGGGTGGCAACCCCCCCCCCCCCATGTGCGTTCTAGGATGGGAAAATTGCATGTGCGGGCGAGGGTTAATCAACGAAATTTAAACGGATACAGGACCCAGGCGCCAACGCTTAAAATAAAGGCATAACATGTCATGTTGCATGTTTTTATGTTTCCTGAGGCTGGTTAACCCTCGATCGGCGAAAGAAGGGGTTGATACAATCCCCGAAGTTTTTCGCAGATAGCAGCCGTTTTCACGACGGCTATCTGGTACTCACACATTTGGTGCATGTGTCATAGGAGCCAATTACCAAAGATGGTCATACCAACCCCCTCGCCGTCCGCGTTATGAAAAAGGCTCTCGCCTAGTGACGGTTAAGTTGAGCCGGCCATCACATCGACGCGATCACTGCGCGCTGGTGCAGGTTCCCCTTATGCATGCTTTCAGTCCGCATCGGCGCATACAGGGCCTTGCATCGGCCTAAGCGCGAAAGTGACCGTTTCGTGCAGCATCTATTTTGCTGTGTCCGTTACACTCACGCCAAAGTGCCAGCTACGATAGACAATTATACTCGCATACGGTTTGAATGTCTTTGCACGGGAAGTCCACTCATCAAACAAAAGTACGTACTTCAGAATGTATGTTGCTAGCCATTCGCTATAGATTTTCGGTTAGGTACAAAAGTTCCCGAGGTACATTGGAGGATTAATAGCCAAGCTGCCGCGGTGGCACCTGCCAATAAGCCAGAAACATAATGTTTGCTGATTGTTGTTAATAACTAGTTCATTGTCGCCTAGAAGTGCATTGCATTATCCATGCATATGTCATTGCAACAACACCCTAGTGTAAGTGTGTGTGTTCATACAGAGAACGTCGCACTTATACCGCAGATTAGGTGAATACGAGGGGGTATCGAAAAGTTCTGATCATCACCATGAATTAGATGTGATAGAAATTTGATTTTTTTACATGATGTTCATTACTCCTTTACAAGTCACCACACACGACCGCAAACTTATCGCATCGTTTCTTGAGCTGCCTCAGGCGATCATTGTAGGACCACATTGTAGGACACGGTCCCGTAAATCACTTCACAATCTTCACCTCCCGTAACAATCAAGAGTCAGTTAATACCCGGTCAGGTGAATTTCTTAGATGCGGTAGGATTTAATGTCCACATCATGTTGTTTCGTCAATCGCAGCTCAGGACGAATGGGCGGGGGCGCTGTCGGTGCGGATAAAACATCTTTCTTGGGCTTTTTTGCAGCGATTCTGCTTGAGGCCACCTTGCAACTTCTTCAAAGTATGCAGTAGTGCTTGCTTATCATTATCCGACCATCATCAAGACAGTCGGTAATGACCATCCTACGCCAGATCCAGAACACTGATAGCATTGACCTTCCATATCGGCTTCTGCATCTTCGCCTTTTAAGAAGGACAGATGTGCCGTGCCTAAACTTCTTGATCGTCTTTTTGTCACTGGATCATACGCATAGACCCAGCATTCGTCACAAGTCATCAAATGATCGAAGATGTCTTCAATTTCCTAAAAAAGGCCTAGTTTTCATTTCGAAAGGCCAAGACGCATTTTTCTCTTGAACAAAGTAGACACACGAACTTCTAAGCAGCCTGACTCCTTTAGCGACTGTAGTTCTTCGCTGATAATATTTTCAGGCACTGTCAGCATTGAGACCTTTCTGTTACACAATCATCTGAAAGGTCACACGACGATCTGTAAGGATGAGGTCCTCCGCTTCCTTCACAGTCACCACCTTGTCAGTCGAACTGGTAGTCACTCACTTCTTGACTCCCTGCAAGGGCCATGCAACCAAGTTGAAAATTATTTCTTCATTTTCGGTAAGTCCATGAGATGGGCTTTCCTCGCCATAAACTAATTTCACGTTCTTGGTGTATTTTCTCAGTGTGATACCGTTTCAAATGCATTAGTTGGATGACGGTTCGGTCCTCAATGGACCCAATACTCATCTTTTCTTACTTCTAAGTCTCTCCTACATAAGATGAAACCACTTCTCAGAATTCTCTTTGCGGGAACATTGTTCTTAAGAACCAAATATAATACCAACCAAAAATAATCAAAATCGGTCTATATCTTCTATGTGATGATCAGAACTTTTCGATACCCCCTCGTATTTGGTGTAGATTTGGTCAAATCAGATTCATGGTGTTTTCTTAAAAGTTGCTAGTTTGTGTTGCGCAGATGCTTAAAGATCTCATTTTTCAAATTATCAGACATTATTTTCGATATACACGCTGAAATAAATTGTTGATACCTATGAAGACATTTGTTGTAAAAAACGGCTGAAGATAACACCGACCAAAAGAAATCAGCTGCGGCATCTGTCCTGAGGAAACTCAGCAGCTTTTGATTGATCAGTGTCAGTATACCATTAGACAGTGGACACTCAGGGGGTCCATTAGTGTTGGTGTAGGGCGCGGCGCGGCCCCGGCCGACTGCGCTGCGCGGTGGCCGGGCGGCGTCGGTCGGCCCGCCGCGGCCCGCTGCAGTGGCCGCTCGGCCGCGGCTCAGCTCGGTCCACCCATGTTCGCCTACCTGGTCCTGCTGTTTCTGGTGGTGTTTGTGACCACGTTCCTGTGGCGCGCCGCTATATACAAGGAGCAGCTCCGCTTCTAGGCGGCACCATGGCCACCTCGGCCGGGTTCGTGAGCACGGTGCTCAGCACGGTATGCCTGCAGGCGCTGAGGCCCACCCTGCCGCCCGTGCCGCCTCTCACCGCGCCGCAGCAGCAGAATGGTGAGTCCCGGGACACTGCAGCAGCGGCAGAGGGCGCAGGTCTGCAATACATATTAACTAGAGCAGTGAGTCCGGTCAGCAGTTGTGACAGCACGGCAGGCAGGAACACAGACCGGCAGCAGTAGAACGATACATACTGCCTTGGACCTGTAGCAGAAGCACCGCACCTTGTGTCATGTGACATCACAGTCACACTCGTATAACCTTCTTTGGTAAATTTTAGCCAGATATCTCCACAAATGGCAGATTCTCTTTTACATTTGGTGAATTCACGGATACACCACAGGTTGCTATTAATTTGAATACATTTTTTTCTGCGCGTTTCGGATGTTGCAAAAAAGATGTATGAAACATTGGTTTGTTGAGCGTTAGCTGCTCCCTTTAGATAGGTACGTTTTCGTCATTTTCCGAATAAAACATTATAATTTTGGACTTAACACTGGTGGGACCTTTACGTGGCCTGTTAGAACTAATTCGAACAGTAAATTGTTACAACGATAGTTAGATTTAACGATCGAGATTGACCAAAAAGCATGCCCAATAAACAGGCGCGCAACCAGAAAAATATTTCGGAGGGGGCACAGCACTAGGGGGCGCAGTTTTTGCCCAGGTGGGCGGCACCAACCTACCCCTCCAAATTTGTTTCTCCTCGGATTTCGTCCACTTGATTTGGTAAATTCATTAAAATAAAATAAAAAGATAATTTAGTGTATGAGTCCCACACAATGTGCCCGTGCCTTTCCATTGCGTGACCTAGGTCGGCGCTACACGACTCTGTGAGTGAGGGGGACGGAGACATGCGAACCAAAACTCGCTACATACGACACATGCCACATTTATGTTTCGTTAAATATTTCCTCAGACCTGCATCTCTACTACCATAGTGACAAGATACTTTTGAATGCGTACCTTCGAATGGAGGTGCCATGTCTATTGTCTATTGAGGGCGATATAGAATGATTCGAGAGCGGCAAAATTGTTTCAAAACTCGGTATCATTCCTTCCTAGGTGCAATGATATATTTGGGGGTCGATTTATAACAACTAGTAGGGCGGCAGAATGACTCCCCGCGCCCCGTAGGGGGGGGGGCCGAAACGCCCCCCCCCCTGTCCTTTTTGGTCGATATCTCCTAAACGGCTGGCGATATCGCCACCAAACTTTCAGGACCCCTCTGGGCATCAATTTTACACATTGTGACCAAAATTTTCCAGAGGCTATGATAGGTTGGCCACAAATGACGTCAGAATGACGTCATGTTCTGTCATTTTCGACCGAAAAAACCTTCGCAAGAAGACCTCTCAGGCCTATAGCTTTGAAGATACAGAAAAATGATCAAGACATAAAAGGTGTAAAATTGACAGGGCTACAAAACTGCGATCTCGGATTTTTGAAATTTTTGAGTTTTGACCCCCAAAAATCAAAAAAGATTCGGATATATTTTTGGATATATTAGCCAAAAAATCCAAAACGTTTTTTGAATTTCGAAAAAATCGGAATATATGTGATAGTACCTACCGTCTTCTATCTCCATACCAAATATCGATACCTCGTTTTTTGGCCAAGTTATAGCGAAAAAACTGTTCTAAAATGGTGACGTCAAAATTTCAAACTCAAGTTTTGGCGATTCTGGACCTCGTAGAGCAAAACAAAGAGCACCATTAGACTCCCCGTGACGAGTTGCATCGAATCGATACCCATTTTATGCAAAAATATCAACTTCGAAATTTGACCTAATTTGACCTGACCTTGACCTGACCTTAACCGAAACGTGACCTAGGCTGGCCGCAAAGACTGCCTAACCCACATAATCGCATTTGTCATGTAAAATGGACCATAAAACATGTGTCACACGACACTTTCATATTGTGACCCCGGTGACCTGACCTCGCTGTGACCTGACCTGGTATCAGTGACCTCAGATAGCAAGGTATGTATTTGACGAACAATGTACCATCGATGGTTTTCGATAAATTACCAATTTACTCGATTTCACAACACATTTCTTGAAATGCCTGTGAACGGTGAAAATCTGACCTTTGACCTGACCTGTGACGTCATCGGTTTGACCTAGGTCAATGAAATTTGGTCATAAGGTAGTTATCGGGTGGGGCTATCGAACTCCGTTTGAATTTTGAAAATCGGCCGGTAACTTTCCGAGATCTTAGGGGGGGGGGCCGAACCCTACGGGTGGTAGGGTAGGGTCCCCCGCTAGCCCTACGGGGCGCGGGTTAATATTCCACAGGGCAACATGTTGCCAGGGGCATCTACGCGCGAAAAAAAAGCTGGTCAAATGGTCAGACTTGCTTAGACAGGCGGCGCGAGCTCAGCCGAGGGGCGGCACATGCTTCAGAGAGCGGCACTTCATAGCTGAGGGGCGGCACTCAGTCGGAAGGGAGGGGCGGCACTCTGACAAGGGCGGCATTTTGGGGCGCACGTAAAGTAGTTCGTCTAGTATGATTGGTCTGATGACGTCGATGTCCAAGCATGTTGCTAATGGAAGGCGGCGTATTGATCACGGAGGGTGACATGACCCCTCAGAGAGCGGCATTATTCTGAGGACGGCACCTTTTGTGAAATGTATGTAAACAGTTAGAGGGCGGCGTATCGACCACAGAAGGCGGCATAACATCACAGAGGGCGGCATTGTTCTTGCTGAGGACGGAATAACGCCTTTTGTTACCTGCATGCAAGCCGTTAGAGGGCGGCGTACTTACCACGGGGGGGGGCGGCAATGTTCTTTCGGAGGGCGGCATTGTTCTTTATGAGGGCAACATAATACCTTTTGTGGACTGCATGCAAGCTGCTAGCAGGTAGTGTATCGACCACAGAGGGCGGGATAACACCTCAAAGGGCTGCATTGTTCTTTCTGAGGGGGCCCAACATCTTTTGTGGACTGCATGCAAGCCGTTAGAGGGTGGCATAGCGGTCACAGAGGGCGGCATAACACCTCATAAGGTGGCATTGTTCTTTCTGAGGGCGGCATAACGCCATTTCGTTGCCTGCATGCAAACCGTTGGAGGGCGGCGTACTGACCACAGAGGGCGGCATGTTACCTCAGAGGGCGGCATTATTCTTTTGTAAGGCGGCATAACGCATTTTTGGACTGCATGTAAACCGGTGGAGGGCGGTAAAACACCTCAGCGGGCGGCCTTGTTCTTTCTGAGGGCGGCATGACACTTTTGTAGACTGCATGTTCACATTTTAAAAGGATTTGCAGGCGCCTTCGGCGCCTGCAAATCCTTTTCGTGCGCAGGGGCGGCATTTGCCTCGAGGGCGCCTTCAAAGCTGACGGAGGGGGCAAATGCCCAGTGTGCCCCCCCCCCCATTGGTTGCGCCTCTGCCAATAAATGACAAATAATTCAGCCCGCGCCCGGGTCGGCATCTCAGCCAGCTTCGCTACGGTGTGTGTGTGGGGGGGGAGGGGGGGTGTAATGCGTATTTAGCCACATAGATTAACTCGGAAAGTAAAAGCAGAATGACGCGAAAAACGCAATAGATAGCTCGCTGCAAGATCTTTGAGAATCATTGAGGTCATTTTCTAATCAGGTCACACCTGAAGTCACTGCATGGAGGTCACCAAAGGTAAAAAATATCACGATGTGTTTCCGATTTCGATATTTTTTACCAATCGGTGCATACCCCAGGAAACAAGCTCCGTGAAAAGAGCATTCGATAGGTCTTTCGAAGCGCCTCCGGGAGCAATAACTCTCAAAATTTGATGTTTTGCGAAACATTTTTTTTTCTGCAATAGTACTCATAACTTTTGACGCCATGCAAGCTAGGCGTTGATTCAAACGTAATCGCGTTTCTCTCGTCGAGTCGCGTCGAATGAACAATAAGTTGACCTGAAAAGTCAACTTTAAATTTGATCTCAGGTCAAGGTCAAGTAAAAGGTCATGCTTTAATCTACATTAAGGTACATTGATAGATTTGAACGCACCTAGGGTGTTTTCATCGCTCTGGCGTGCTTCCATCCAAAGTTGTTGTAAAAAACTGTTTAAGACGTTTCATGACCTGAGATGACCTCAAGGGCATAACGGGGGTCACGGGTGCAACTTTTAAATTCAGTGTGTCCTTTTCACCTATATGCCAAGTATGACAGTGTTTTCGCCCAGAAGAAGAGCAACTGATTTTTTCCGTTGCCCTTTAATCGAGAGAAGGAATCGAATAATCAAAATTGACTTGACCTCAGGTTATTGATATCAAAATTCCGAGACATATTAATTGTCGGCACTGATTCCCTCATGCAATAGCCCGAGTATCAAACTTCTAAGATATAACTTGTAGGAATTTGACAAAATCACAAAGTTTTAAAGGTATAGTCGCTTAAATTGACCTAGTGATCTGACATTGTGACCAAAGTGACCTGGGGTCGAAAATTCACACACGATGCGAAATTGATGTAGCATATGCCATAGGTGCGATCTAGCATTGATGCATCATAAGCCAAGGTTCGCGGCGCTTGGCGGTCTTCTTTACACACGAAAAAAAAACTGTTAGTTGTGGCCAACTCTCCATCCTACCCAGACGAAGAATTTCCATGAATTTTTGTGCATTTTGCCGCAAATCCTTAGCTTTAAAAGATACCTGGCAGAGACTCTGCAGTCTGCACGTCCATCGACTCCTCACTCCAGCGCGTACCTACATCATGTGCAGCCGCCTCGAATGATATATTTGATTGTTAGAAAAGTCTTATTTGAGTGTTGACTGTTGGCACACCTTCAAACGAAAATTAAATAAGATAATACATAAGAAATCTACCTGGATGGTTCGGTGCAAACGTTTTGTGATCTACCAATAGACCCAGTAACTGTGCCGTCAACCACCATCTGCCTGCAGAGGCGTACCGGACGGCCTGTGACACCACGGACGATTACCTGCGGCTGACGGACGGACAGCTGGTCGAGTGGATGCGACCCCGCGTCACCAGAAATCTCCAGAATCGCACCATCAGAGTCGGCGTCAAAAAGGTAGAGTGCTGCTCAAAATTTGTATGGCGACGCTGCATTATCAATCAACCATGCGCCATTTATTGATGAATTAACTCAATTTTTTACTGCAAACGGCCCAGCATAGATAAGGAAGATGGTCATAGATCGGTCCGTCATATATATCCTGCACTCGAAAGTCGTTCCATCATACATAGAAACAAGCATACTGCATACCTTTTGGTGCATTCTGCTCGATCTGCATAAGCCTATAGTTAGAGAAGTCAGAGTAAAGTCACGCTCCCGTGTCCCCCGTGCAGCTGCCGCCGCCAGTGCCGCCGCGCTACGAACCCGACAGCTGGTCGATCCGCGTGGTCCAAGTGCTCGCCTCCGTCTTCAACTTCACGCCCGAGTACGTGGGCGCGCCAGTGCCGACCGGAGGAGTCCCGCAGAGCGGCGGCCGCTGGAGTGGACTCACCGGACAGCTGCTAGAGGACGTGAGTTGGACTCACGCCCGACGGGGTGGGGGTGGGGGTGGGGGTAGGGTGTGGGGAGGACCGCATTGAACCCAGATCAAATGTAGCTAATGCAATGAAAAAAGCTAATCAGTTGCATATTTTGAACTTTCAAGTTGTCCCGACATTACGGAGTGATCATTTAACCCACGCCCCCCTGGAGGGGGGGGGGGCAGAATCTGCCTTCCCTCCCGTTTTTCGCCAATAACTTCTAAACGCGTTACGCCAGCGACGTCAAACTTTCAGTACCTTATCATAGATCAATTTGACACGTTCCCTGAAAATTTGAGCGAAATCCGTCGGAAAATTTTTGAGAACCTGACGTTTTAGTGACGTCATGTTCGCCATTTTCGCCTCAAAAACGGCAAAATTTCAAACGCCGCTAACATCTTCATTTTTAAAGGAATCAAGACGTAACAAAAAGGTTATACGTGATTCTACGTTGTCTATCAAATGGCTATCTCGGTTTCTTGAAAATTTTGGATTTTGGCCTAAATTTTTTTTTTCAAAAAACTGACTTTTTTGGAAAAATAATTATAAAATCCAAAATTTTGAGTGTATCGAAAAAAAACCGGAATATATGTCAGAGAAGTGGTCTATGTGCACCTACATACCAATTTTTAGAAGAATCAGTTCAAAAATGTGGGAGTTATTCAAAATTTTGTGACGTCACGACACACAAAAATTTTGAAAAAATGATTTTTTGGAAGTTCTAGACATCGTACGGAAACAAAAATAGCACCATTCGATTCGCCGTGACAAACTGCATCAGATAGACACCTTTTCAGGCCTTAACAACCAACTTTAAAATTTGACCTCACTTGACCTGACCTTGACCTGACCTCGATCTAAAATTCATCCAGAGGTGGTCCATATCACTTATTGAGTGTGCTTATTGAATTTTATGAGTAAAATGACCCATAAAACATGTGTCGCACATGCCCTATTCTATATTTTGTTTTTGGTGACCTGACCTGACCTGACCTTGACCTTGACCTTTGAATGACATTGTATGCAATGAATATTGTCTTGATAGTCTAAGAACACGTTTTGGGCAATCAGTCTCAGTCCATTCTTCGGCAACTACGGTACAAGGCCGATACTGTAGAAACTTGCATCTTGTATCCTTGACCTGACCTTGACCTGACCTCTGACCTACTTAAGCAAAAAAATTTGGGCTCTTAAGATCCGCCTTGTTGGAGCTTTCGATTGCCGTTCTCCCCGTCTTTCTACGACCATCGGTTCGGAAGTTAGACAGGGGGGGAGAATCTGCCCCCCCCCCCCCCAGCAGGGCGCGTATGGCTGAATAGCCCAGCGGGGCGCGGGTTAAAACTGAAATAAAGTAAGGCGTGATAAGTGTGTTGTGTCAACATTCAGCATAGCGAAGTGTCACGTCATTGGAAAGACAATTGCTGGACATTTGATATAAACAAAAAAAGCCGATCCCTTCTTCCTTCGCTCAGGGCAGGCGCTCAAATGACCGCTCTGTTTCGGGCAGCGCTGCTCAGCCCGGCGCTGGCGGTATGCCATTCGCCGCAGCTACTTCTCACTGATGTTGCGGGCAAATAAATCCACTACACCCTTCAGTTGTCTCAAGGATTGAAGCCTACGTAGAACTATTTTGCCCTAAACTTGCTGCCAGAAAGTTAATTTGAGATAAGTTTGAACGGAACTATACGCAAAACCAAGAATGTTGCGTATTGGGAATTGTGGACCAATCGTCCAATTTTGTAGTCGAGAAGTGCATCGAAAACCGGAAAACCGGCTCGGAAAAGTGCGCCTTTAACCTGTAAAAATCCCTTCTTAGCGTCAGCCCAGCTATGAATGACAGTCCCCAGCATCTTGAAGCGCTCTATCGTTCCGTCAACCTCTTCTTCGAACCAGAGAACGGCCAACGGCCAACGGGCAACGGTGTTTGCCCGTTGGCAACGGGCAAACACCTCTCATCGATGGTGTCTCCAGGCCTTGACCTTTGTCCCCGATCTTTCCCGGACAGAAAAAAAAAAGTTCAAAAATGCCTGAATAAACACCTCAGTCCCTTATCCGCGAGGAAGCAAGAATATGATGGATTGATTTGGATGTTTGTAATTATTAGATGAGTGTATTAGATACATGTCTATGTAACATTTCGGCACGTAATTAAATGTGTATGTTTATATAAATATTAACTTACGAACTGCTTGCCTAGGAAGTGGAGATGACAGGAAGCTTCCTGGTATCCAGCATGGAACGTCTAAACCTCGTCTCATTTGGTGAAACAATCGGCTACTCTCAGATCGGCCTGCTGATAGAAAAGCCAAAAGCGGAGACTCGAGACGACTCCCTCTTGGCTCCATTCAGCAGTCACGTAAGGAATACGTATTGTGAACTTGGGCGCATTTGATGTGGTTCATGAAGGAAACTATAAACTTTTAGTGCTAAGTTGGGTATCTAATCGAAGTTACGCAAAATATTAAACGCCTCGGATTGTCGATGAGTTTGAAAAAGACATGCCTTTAAGAGCTTGGAATGACATTGATTTTTTCTGATTTGTCTCAGTCAAATAAATCGCTTCTTATAGTATGTCATAATGAGCAGTGAACTTGTCCTTCGTGATCTGATCCGAAAGTGTTTCCCCACATTCCGGCATTCATCTAGTGACAGCACATCATTATAATTGAAAATGTGTATATCTTCTAGTTAAGGAAGTAATCATTTGTTACACTTTACCTCAAGAGCGCCGATCACTCGGTCAGCACGCGCGCGCCTATCCGACAGGTGTGGCTGCTGATTCTGATCTCGATGATCGTGATGGGCCCGCTGATCTGGGGCATTATCCGGTTCCGGGTGTGGCTGTCCACCGGCGACGCGCACCTGAACCGGGTCATCCCGCTCGGCTCGTGCGTCTGGTTCGTGTACGGCGCGCTGATGAAACAGGGCTCTGTGTTGTCGCCCGTCACAGGTGAGCCAGCACGCCGGCACGCTCCGGGTTGGGATGTGTTCTGTTCGCAGTAGTCTATCATCATCTAGGACCACTCTTGAAGGTCATATTCCGAGGTTGCGTACGTGTACTTTGAATCTAAACCTTTTCCGTATAGAAACGAGGAGGGTTCGTTCTAACGCCGTTCTTTCGGCAGACTCGTCGCGAATGGCGTTTGCCGTTCGTAACGTCGTGCCCTTCGCAGACTCGTCGCGAATGGCGTTTGCCGTTTGTAGCGCCGTTCTTTCGGCAGACTCGTCGCGCATGCTGTTTGCCGTTTGTAGCGCCGTTCTTTCGGCAGACTCGTCGCGCATGCTGTTTGCCGTTTGTAACGCCGTTCTTTCGGCAGACTCGTCGCGAATGTTGTTTGCCACCTGGTGGATATTCATCACGGTTCTTACGGCCTTCTACACGGCCAACCTGACCGCCTACATGACGCTGTCGGCGCTCAAGGTGCCCGTCCAGAGCATCGACGACATCAGCGGCAACCAAAAGTCCTGGCTGGCACCGGCAGGTCAGCAGATCGACACTGCCAACGCGCCCGCTTACCGTTCCGTCCGCTTTGCAAGGGCAGCTAACCGACCGTTTCCGTAGAGCTCAATCCGTGATTAGATGTCAAACGCGCAACTTATTGCAGTTACAGGTAGCTCAGTTCACACTCTCGCTCACTGTAGTTCATCCAAAGCATTTGAATGATCTAAGCCACCGTGCTTCTTTCAAACAGGTGACAGTATCCAGATGTATGTGAACAATTCGGCGACACTTCGCCGACTCCAGAGTGCTGGTAGGGGCTCCTACATCCGACATGATGAGCCCATCGCCAGAACCATCAGCAAAGTTCGCTCCGGTGAGTGACTAAAATCTAATGGGGAGCTGAATTTAACGTAACAAACAATGCAAGTCACCTGTAAACTTGTTGGTAGTCGCCTTTGTATCAAATAAGTTGAATGTAAAGTAAAACGCTTGTTTGGTTATGTAGCTTGCAATTTAGATCACCATTTAGGGGAGAGTGGGGTAAGATGCCCAGAGTGGGAAAGATATCCCACCCCCTCTAACGGCGGAGCAAAGAATCAAACCTGGAAATTAATGTTCTTAGCGTAAAGCGGAAGCCTTCCATATTACTGCACACACAAAAAAAAAAATGCCTAGCTCAATTGGGCAACGGTGGGCTGGTGGTTGCAAGTTTTATATTTGCTGCTTTCAAAAAAAAATTGGTGTCAAAACATTGTGAATATCAAAGCCAAGGTAAATATTTTTATGTCCGTTGCTATTGCCGCGAGAGATTCAAAAGCGTGTACTGTGTCCCAACCAGTTTGTTTCAGGGTGTAGTCTTCGTGCTAACAAATTGTACTGATTAAATGGTAATTCGGTACCTTGCAGGGAAAGATACCCTCTGACCTGATGGGGAAAGACGCCCCGCTAAATCCGTGGGCTGCCCTTCAAAGAACCCGTCGAATCATTTAGTACAAAGTTGTGATGAGAGACAAAAGCCGATTTGAGACTACTGAGAGACCAATACGATCAGGTGCTCCGCCTCCCCATACCGGTATCTCGGCCCCTACACCGACTTTTTGGGCGACATCTGACTCTGATAGCCTTCACGGCGATCTCTGTGGGCCCCATAATTGGCCCTGAGGCCCCTCACAACATCCTTTGATTGAGGGCTTCTACGGGCCGCGCTGGCATCTGAAGTGAAGGCAATGAAGTACCCACAACGGTCTCCGAACGCCACCACGGAGGCTTGTTTGGCCGCGCTGGACTATCCCAGTGAATTTTTAGTCTCTAGGTCACAGGGGTCATGAGATATGGACATGGGTGAAACTTTGACATCACCATTGGGGTCCCAAACGTCCAAGGGGGCCTCCATTTAGTGGGGGCCTCCAAGCAATTAGGGGCCTCCAATTGCGGAAGCGGTAATTTACGAGCCACGCCAGGGCCTCCTCTAAGAAATTTTCATTGGGGGACCAGAGGCTCAGAAGCCAAACATGGGGTACCCCCAAATCCAGTTTTCTCATCGGATTTAGGCCACTTATTTTTCGTCACAGCTCTGATGCCATGATTTTTTTTTTTAATATCGATAAAGAAATGGTAGGTCACCTGACCCTACTGGTGGATCCAGGCCAGCAGGGTGACATTGTATGTAAATATCCCCCGCGGCATCCGAAATCGACGAAAATTTCTGGCTTTTTCACTTTTGACAATAAAACACAATGCCTTTATAATAGAAAAAAAATTAACGGCACAGCATTGCGCAAGGAATCTAGCCGTAAGCCGACCCCAGAAAGTGTGAGGGTTAACCTTCGCCGGCACCTGGGGGGAGGGTCGCCACCCCCAAGTTAGTTTTTCTGCTCTACACTTAACATTTTTAAAGCTAGAAACCTGATTTTCTTTGTATAGCTGCTTTTCTATCTTTTCTCAGCGTCCATTGAAAATTTCAAGCTTCTGCGGCATTTGGGTTTGGAGATATGACCTTGTTCTTCAGGTCATGTCATGTCCTAAATGACGAATACCCAATATCTTGCGATGGCTATGGGCCTTGTGAGCTTTCGACACGCTGATTTCGGCTTTTTTTTGCCAGTCTTACCTCCCACCTATCATTGAACATGTTGTTCTGCGATGTACAGATGTCAGAGTCAGGGTCAAGGTCAACCTAGGTCATCTAAAATTATTGCGCTTTAGGCAAGCTGAATTTACTTTTCGTGAAGTTTCTTTGACTGTATGTTTAGTAAAAGCTTCTCAGTTCATGATCAAGTGTAATAGGGACACACAAACCGATCTGTGCACACATCAGTACATACACAGACATACACATTACACAGACATACAAACACATATCATTGACCTTGACCTAACTTGACGTGAAATGACCACAGCCAGCAAATTAGTCGGATAGTGTGACAAAGAGCTGTTCTAGCTCGCTTGGCACTAATACGGCAGCGTCATCGGTATATGATGGGTTGGCCCGCTGCTTGTGTAGGTTATATCTTATTCGACATCACCACAATTTTTTCTTACAAGATTTTAAGCCTTGCGGTCAAGAGCAACAGATTCTTTGGGAAGTGACGAATCCAATGATACCAATTTTACCTCATCAGGTCAGTCATTGACCTTCCAGGTCAGGTCAAACTAAAGAATGTTGCTGTTTGGGGTCACCGTTGCCCGTTGGAATATCACGTGCGCTGCTCATCATGTACCGATGACGCTGCCGTATTGTGGTGCCAAGCCAGCTAGAACCTCTTTGTCACACTATCCGACTAGGTTTTTGCTGGCTGTGGTCATTTCAGGTCAAGTTAGCTCAAGGTCAATGACATGTGTTTGTATGTCTGTGTGTGTCTGTGTGTACGAGTATACTGATGTGTGCACCGACTGTGAATGTGTCCATATTACATGAGATCATGAACTGAGAAGCTTTTGCCAAAAATACAGTCAAAGAAACTTCACGAAAGTAAATTCAGCTTGCCTAAAACGCAATATTTTTAGACGACCTAGGTTGACCTTGACCCTGACCCTGGCATCTCTACATCATTGAACAACATGTTCCATGATAGGTGGGAGGTAAGACTGACAAAAAAGGCCGAAATCAAGGTGTCAAAAGCTCACAAGACCCAACGCCAACGCAAGATATTGGGTATTTGTCATTTGGGTTATGACATTACCTGAAGAATAAGGTCATATCTCCGAAACCAAAAACCACAGAAACTTGAAATTTTCAGTGGACGCTAAAAAAGGATAGAGCAGCAGCTATACGAAATATCCGACTTCTAGCAATCAAAATGTTTAGTGCAGAGCAGAAAAAACTACCTAGGTCGGGGTGGGGGGTGTGGCAACCACTGCCCCCCCCCCCCCATGTGCGGACGAGGATTACCTAAGTAATTTGAATATCAGGAAAATAATTTATTAAATCAGGTATTCCAACAGAGTCCCGCTTTTTTATAGGTGACCTCCGATTTGTGTTGCATCTAAGTTACCCAGGGGGCCTCTTATTTGTAATTGTAGGTACAGTACAGAGAGCCTCCTACTTCGACTACTTGCACAGAGAGCCTCCTAGCGTACATACGGCTAAGCTTCTACAGGTCGAGCGCCGGTCTCTTGTACGTACAGAGAGCCTCCTACTGTTACAGAGGGCCTCCTGTTTGTCTAGGGGGCCTCCTATTGGTTAACGGCGCCTCCTATTTGTCCAAGCGGCCTCCTATTCGTCTATGGGACCTCCTATTTGTCCAGGAGGCCTCCTGTTTCTCCAGAAGGTCCCCTATTTATCCAGGGGGCTTCTATTTTCCAGGGGGCCTCCTCTTTATCTAGGGGGCCTCCTACGTGTTCAGGGGCCTCCTATTTGTCCAGGGGCCTCCTATTTATCCAGGGGTCTTTTATTCGACTAGGAGTCTCATATTTGTGCAGGGGCCTCCTATTTGTCCAAGGGTCTCCTACTTGTCCCGGGGCCTCCTTTTTTTTGAAGGGACTCCTTTTTGTTAAGGGAGCCTTCTATTTGTCCAGGGGGCCTCCTATTCGTACAGAGAGCCTCTAGCTCCTACTTGTCCATGGAGCCTCCTATTTGTTCAAGAGGTTCCCTATTTGTCCAGGGGGCCTCCTATTTGTCCAAGGGACCTGTTATTTTTCTAGGGGGCCTCTTTGCCCAAGAGGCCTCCTATTTGTCCAGCGTGCCTCCTACATGTTCAGGGGGCCTCCTATTTGTCCAAGGTGCCTCCTATTGGTTAAAGTAGCCTCTTATTTTCCAAGCGGCCTCCTATTTATCCAGAGGGCTCCTATTTTTAGGGGGCCTCCTCTTTATCCAGGGGGCCTCCTTGTTCAGGGGGCCTCTTAATTGTCCAGGGGCCTCCTTTTGTGAAAGGGGCCTCCTATTTGTCCAGGGGGCCTCCTTTTGTGAAAGGGGCCTCCTTTTTGTCTAGGTCTAGGACCTTCTATTTGTCCAGGGGGCCTCCTATTTTTGCAGGGGCCTCCTATTTGTACAGAGGGCCTCCTACTTGTCCATGGGGCCTCCTATTTGTCCAGGGGCCTCCTTTTGTGAAAGGGGCCTCCTGTTTGTCTAGGTCTAGGACCTCCTATTTGTCCAGGGGGCCTCCTATTTTTGCAGGGGGGCCTCTTATTTGTACAGAGGGCCTCCTACTTGTCCATGGGGCTTACTATTTGTCTAGGGGCCTCTTATTTGTCTAGGGCCTCCTATTTGTCCAGGAGGCCTCCTACTTGTCCAGAGAGCCTCCTATTTCTCCAGGGGACTTCCTGTTTTCCGGGGGCCTCCTACTTGTTCAGGGGGCCTCCTACTTGTTCAGGGGGCCTCCTACTTGTTCAGGGGGCCTCCTATTTGTCCAACAGGGCCTCCGATTTGTCCAAGGGGCCTCCTATTTAAACAGAGAACCTTTTATATGAATATCGGACCTCCGTTTGCAAAGTAGCTGATGCGTCTCGGGGGCCTCCACTATTGGGGTCCCAAAATGACAATTGGGGTCCCAAATGTTCGCATTGGGGACCTCGAAAGTATACAAAGTTACACCCATGGATATGGATCATGCAAATTTTAAGGTTTCCCGGAATATTGAAATATAAAGTATTTTTTATCTCCGCAACGGTTCACCGGATCAAAAAAAGTTATATATGAAATAATAAGCGCACAGGCTGGTGCGTCTAGCAAAAATGTGAACGAAACCTCAGGGTCATTTTTTGACCTTGTGACCTTGTGACCTTTTCTTGACCCCGTGACCTTTCAAATTTGTCCTATTTTAAAAATTCTGATTTTTTCTATCAGAGATGTCTTATCCATGCTCTTAATAGTGGTATGTGATTTGGTTGGTATATCGGACCTGTTGACCTCAAACTGAGGTCAACAATGTGGTCATGACCTGACATGAAAATGACATCTGCCGAGAACGTCATGAATCATAGGCAATATGGGTGTCATATGAAAGCTAACTTCACGGAGAATACATTGGTGGTGTTTTTGAGTAGGTATGGGCCGGGTCAAGGTCACATTAGGTCAGTGACCTAACACAGCATTGTGTTCTTTGAAGGTGGCGTATTTTATTTGTTTGGTAAGTCCAGTGATCAGCATACAATAAAAAGGAAACAAAACGTCATAAAACGTCTTTTTTATTCAAAAAGCAGAGATAAAATGCACACATACCCATATAAACACACTCGCAAAAACACACACATTCATACATCTTGTTCGAGGAAGTTCTTTCAAACAAACCCCAGTGACACACGCGCTGTGAAGAACGAGTCTCAGAAGACTCGGACAGCTTGAAGGCTGCTATGGTATTGGAGTCGAGCAGTACAAAGCGGTGAAACGTCCTGGTACCCTTCACCATGCGGGCACTTGTGAAGCGTTCTTTCATTTTTGTCTTCGTTTCTGCTATTTGCGTTGCGGGAGCTGAAGCGGGAGCTGAAGCGGCATTTCAGGCAGTGGTTATTCCCCACATTTGAAATGAATGCCCAAGACTAAAAAATACAATACTTCTCTGACGGAGTAGCGTCCCAGCACAAGAACAAATACAATTTTGCAAATACATGTCATCATGCCGAGGATTTCGGTGTTCAATGTGAGTGGATTTTTTGCCACCTCGCATGGCAAAAGCGCATGCGATGGTATTCGTAATACTGTGAGGACCACCTTACCGATAAAATGCATTTCTTCTTCGTTTCGGCAACGCAAATAGCAGGAACGAGGACGAAAATGAAAGAGAACGGTTCATAAGTGCCCGCACGGTGAAGGGTAGGTAGTAGGTACCAGGACGTTTCACCGCTTTGTACCGCTCGACTCCCACACCATAGCAGCCTTCAAGCTCTCCTAGTCTTCTGAGACTCGTTCTTCACACCGCGTGTGCTACTGAGGTTTGTTTGAAAGATCTTCCTCGAACAAGGTGTATGTATGTGTGTGTGTGTGTATGTGCGAGTGTGTATATGGGTGAATGCATTTTATCTGTGCTTTTTGAATAAAGACAGACGGTGTTTTATGACGTTTTGATTCCTTTTTATTGTGTGCTGATCACTGGGCTTACCAAACAAATAAAATACGCGAACTTCAAAGAACACAATGCTGTGTTAGGTCACTGACCTAATGTGACCTTGACCCGGCCCATACCTACTCAAAAACACCACCAATGTATTCTCAGTGAAGTAAGCTTTCATGTGCCACCCATATTGCCTATGATTCTCAACGTTCTCGGCAGATGTCATTTTCATGTCAGGTCATGACCACATTATTGACCTCAGTTTGAGGTCAACGGGTCCGATATACCAACCAAATCACATACCACTATTAAGAGCATGGATAAGACATCTCTGATAGAAAAAATCAGAATTTTTAAAATAGGACAAATTTGAAAGGTCACGGGGTCAAGAAAAGGTCACGAGGTCAAAGGGTCAAAAAATGACCCTGGGGTTTCGTTCACATTTTTGCTAGACGCACCAGCCTTTGCGCTTCTTATTTCATATATAACTTTTTTTGATCCGGTGAACCGTTGCAGAGATAAAAAATACTTTATATTTCAATGTTCCGGAAAACCTAAAAATTTGCATGACCCATATCTCATGACCCCTGTGACCTAGAGACTAAAAATTCACTGGGACGAAGTAGTGCCCATAGGTCAACTTACATGCCAAATTTGAGCAAAATCGGAGAGGTCATGGTGAACAATTGGAAAAAAAATAGGTGATTTGTCGTGGAATTGCCCCTATGCTATCCCTCACGATGACCTCTGAAGCTCCTCACGGCAATTTTTGAGGGCCCTTACGATGGCATTTAAGTGTCTACCGCAGGTTCGAAGGGAACTGATTCGTTGCAGGCAATTCACGTGCCCATTTATGTCACTTTAGTGCGGAAGGGCATCTTACCCAACGCCAGTGGCATCTTTCCCACCCTCTGGGGTAAGATGCCCCCTTGTACTTCTTCAGGAAAATGATAAATAACAAAAAGTTATCATATTGGAAGCACAAAAGTAAGATACTTTGTGGAAAAAAAATGATGACAGCTTCCGTTGAAACACCATTATCTTGCTTTCCGATCGTCATTTTCGAGTAATCCATGACATTCCTAACCCCTGGGCATCTTCCCCATCCTCCTTCAACCTCATGAAGGTTACCACGCTGGCGATTTATGGCCTAGATAATTTTTGAAAGTATTATAAAATGTGTGTAAATTTAAATGAGACCTATACGAGTAAATATACATGTAAATAGGTATGTATAGTAGATATGGACCTACATAACCTAGTTGCATACATATTCTTGTATTGTCATCCCTACACCACACACTGTTACTCGTATAAGCATGCGTTAGGATACATACCTATACCTGCAAAGCTTTATTCGCCTTACACTTTACAGGTTACGTTTACATTGACGAGGTGTCCAAGCTGAATGCGATGATGATGGCCGACTACTACGCCAGTAACCACACGTGCCACGTGTACGTGGTGCCGCTCAAAGACCAGTACATCAAGTACTCGCTGGCCGCTCCCAAAGACTCGCAGCTGCACCACATCTTCGACCCATTGTGAGTAGCCGTGACGTGTGCCGATACATAGTTGGGCAAAACCCGCTGCAGAGCTGCCTCTTCCAGAGTTTCAGCGTTGTGACTCATAGTCCGTTTAATGGGGCCGGTCGGCGGATGTCTTAACTAGTCGTCAATTAGGTATGCATTGCAATCTGCTGCAGTTTCCCTGAAGTTTTGTCAAAATCACTTTCTATCCTGGAATATTTCTTACGAAACAACTTATAGACGGTTCTTTATCACCCAAAGATATTATCGCATTTAACTGTAAAAATATGACAGCTTACTTATTACGATTTGTTAGCTGCAGTAGAATCATTGACTTATGGTAGTTTCAATAACGTTACAAAAACGTTTGTCATGCTACCAAGCCATGGCTCAAATTTCCCTGCATTCACTATGTACATAAATATGTCTGCATACACTTTCGCTGTTATTTGAGCCCTACAGCTCTGTTAAGTAATATCAATCCCGGCTTTTTGTTGACGTTTAGTTGAAGCGTATCACTCCGTGTTGCAGCGTCCACTGGCTGGTGATGTCCGGCATTGCTAGCAAGTGGAAGCGCGACGCCGAGGTGGACGCCGAGCCCTGCGCCATTCCCAAGGGCATCCAGGGCACGCAGCTGAAGAACGAGGAGCTGCGCATGATCTACTACATCCTGCTCGTCTCGTACGGCTGCGGCGTGGCGCTGCTGCTGTTGGAGGTCGGCCTGGGCCGGCTGCTGGACCGGTGTGCCGGCGGAGGGGGCGCCCGGCCCGCCCGCCAGTCGCTCTCCGTGCTGCAGCGCGTGCTCGGCCAGGAGGCCGGCGCCGCCGCCGGCAAGACCGCCTGGCCGGCCGCCAGCGGCGACCAGTCCAAGCCGACCACCACCTACGCCTACGGCATGTCCGTGAACCCGGCGGCCGTTTCCACGTGGTCTGCGGTGACGACGTCGCTGACGCCGCCGCCGGCCGGGCCGGCCTCGTCCGCGGCGGCGGCCGGCTCCGGCTCGGGCGCGCCGCGCTCCGACCGCGAGGTGCTGCAGGAGATGCGCAACAACATCAAGTACATCAACAACCGGCCGTACATGTTCGTCAGGGATGGCGCCGGCGGCGTGCGGCCCGTGCCCGTCACCGAGGAGCGCAGCGAGGTGTTCGAGCGCGTCTTCAAGGACCTCAAGGAGCGGCCGAACAGCTCCAGAGTTGACGACCACTTCGGCGACCTCTATTCTCCCGAACACCTCATGCGGCAGTAGGCTAGCACGGGCAAAGAGCTGCTCATACCCACCCTGCGCCACTAGAGAGAACGCACTAGACAAATGCGGATGGTGGACCGTGGACATTTGGAAGACTCTTTATAAGATATTTTTCTCTTTCTTGTAGATAAATCGTCTGGTCATGGCGTTAAAGCGTTTGGGACATTTTACAAATTGACGGATGAAATCATGTGATAGAAAATAAGTAGGTATCTAAATGTACCGGAAAACATCGACGTCATTTCGAAATCTTCGTACCTATATTTTCAAGGCTTTTATGGGCTGAACTAAGATAAAAATATCTAAATGAGATATTCCGGTCTTTCCATTAGCCTTGGTCGACCAGAAAAAAATGGGCCGATCAATAAAGCTGATGTGCTTGGTTTTCAACAGTACACTTTAACTCATAGAAGATTTTCAAAAGAGCCCGCTGTTACTTTGGAACTGGCAATGTGACGAATGTGCCCGGGTCCCAATAGTGATCCAAGGGCACGAGGTCTAACACAGTAGCTAATCTACCTTATAATGATACCTATCGATAAACGAGACTCGATCGATGGCATCATTCGATATACAAGGATCAATTATGTAAAAACCTGCCGATGCCTATGAAAGCCTTTAACCCGCCTTGTAAAAATACGTTGCATATCTATTATCTAGATATAGATTTATCAACTTATAATCAGTTTCATCCCAATTAACGGCGTATCAATGAAACTAAAACTGCGATGAGATGTTTCCATTTCCCAACCATGCAAGATGTGCTTGGAATCGTGTAGGTACCTAAACGTGCTACGTTGAAAAAAAAATCAAATATGTATAGGTATTGTGTAACACCAATGATGCGTGTTTTCTTGTTGGATCAAATTTGTTCCTATGGGCATTGGGCATCCCACCAATTTATCACCCAATGATCAGGGCCTCCTCTAACATGTTAACTGGGGGGGGGGGCGCGGCCCCCGCAGTGATGCCACTGCACCCCCACACACTCCACACACACACACACACACACACACACACACACACACACCCAGTGGAGCTGAAATCGCGTCACGGGGGGGAGACACGCAGTTAAGCCAATGATATAGAAAAATGATGAACTTCCACTTCAAGCTAACCAAACAAACAAAATCCACAATTTCTTAACGATCACCCACCGTATTGGACTAATTTTAGTTTTCTTATACCGTTGGGTTGGGCTCTTTCAGTCTACTGAGAACATTTCAGATCCCCCTGAGACGAGCGGATAGAGGCGAGACATTGAACTTATAATTGAACACTGACTGACGCCCCAAAGGGACAAAGTCCATCCCTTTGAGAAGGAAACGTCCCGTTGGGTCGTCCTCTCAATCAAGCAAACGTTCAACACGGAGGAGTGTGAATATTCTTTCGGGTAAGCGTGCGTATTCTTTAAGAGGAAACTGCTTTTCGCTCAAATAAGAATATCGCAGAGTTATAGGATGAGAGAAGCTGTTTGCTTCCATATAGGTACGACCTTGGTTTCCAGTGTTTGGGAGAGATTAACCCTCGCACTTATTGGAGGTCGGATAGACCCACTCCCCTTGTTTTTTTTTTCGCAAATAACTCGCGTAAATAGTGACCCATCGCGGCGAAACTTGTAGATGTTCGAAGTAATCAATTCATTTAAAAATTGGTATGTAGGTGCACATACATCACTTCTCTGACATATATTCCGGTTTTTTCGATACTCTAAAAATTTTGGATTTTATAATTATTTTCCAAAAAAGTCAGTTTTTTTGAAAAAAGAATTGGGCCAAAATCCAAAATTTTCAAAAACACCGAGATAGCCATTTGATAGACAAAGTAGAATCACGTATAACCTTTTTTGTTACGTCTTGATTCCTTTCAAAATGAAGATGTTAGCGGCATTTGAAATTTTGCCGTTTTCTAGGCGAAAATGGCGAACATGACGTCACTAAAACGTCAATTTCTCAAAAAAAAAAAATCCGACGGATTACGCTCAAATTTTTAGAGAACGTGTCAAATTGATGTTTGATAAGCTACTGAAAATTTGACGTCGCTTGCTTAACGCGTTTAGAAGTTATTGGCGAAAAACGGGAGGGGGGCAGATTCTGCCCCCCAGCGGGGCGCGGGCTATTTTTTTTAGGGTTTCAACAACAAAAAATCGTATCAGGGCTGTGACGAAACACAAGTTGCTTAAATCCGATGAGAAAACAGGATTTGGGGTACCCCAGGTTTGGCTCCTGGAACCTCTCCCCCCCCCCCAAGTGAAAATTCCTTAGAGGAGGCCCTGCCAATGATCACATCACTACTGTAGTAAATTAAGCGAACAGCCTACCTGTTTATGTGTTCAGTAACATGTTAGCACATCGATCATATTTTTAGGATGTTGGTTCTCATATACTTTAGAGCTGTGTGTAGGTATGTGACTGCACTGTAGCCACTAAAAGACGGAGTTTTAAAGTATTTTTATAACCGCCGCAAAAATCACAGAGGACAAAAACCCACTGGTGCATAAGTTAATCTGCATGTAAAGATATCTAAAGTAGCATATTTGAGCGTGATAACTTAAGGATGGTGAATGTACCTATGTATACAAAGGTTTGATACCTATCACACATAGGTACACTGGCATTCTGGTGCATAGATGGAATAAACATTGCAAAACACACGCATCGTAGTTTTAAGAGTGAACGTGATTAAATTTGCGCTTTTGGGTAGATATGGTAGGTAGGTACCTACTTGTGCTATTTAAACGGAATTACTTGAACATTACCGAAAACTTATGTCCTATGCCTTAGATCAAAACCCTGGAGAATTATGTACATAGGTACGCTATGTCTAACGTAACTAGTGCCGCTTTCACCTGTTCTTGGATGAAATAAGATGACTTATCAATAGCAAAACTCTTGCAACAATTCAATACCTACATCATTGCACTCAGCACTGTTTTTTACTGTCGAAATTGACAGCACTTTTACATAAATGCGTGCAGTGCAGCTAAGCTAGGTGCAAAAAGGTGTATGAAGATGCTATGCAAGGGACACTCTGCTTGTGCCGACCAGATGATTCATACAATTCCGAAACCCGATAGCACCAACACGATAAGGTATCAAAGGAAAGGAAGGCTACCTATAGGTAGATGATTTGCGCAGCGTTGTTTGTGAACTCTTACTGAGACCTGCTGTAGTGTCAGCAATGCTCAAAATCAAACGTGTCTGTTTTCTATTTTGCATGGCATCCGAGAACCTCCAAGTGGATTCCCGTCTCCGATCAAGTTTATTTGGCCGGGAAGCCGGATGAGCCGTGCGATCACACGTCCGTCCGAGGCGGTCCCGCTCCCGAGCCGTGCAGCGTGACCGAGTGACTCATCGACATAGTTCTTATCACGCTCGTCAGGTGGCGCGCCATGCTAGTGAACGCCGGGCCGGGGGCCGTGCATGGCCCACAGTCGGGGGCACAGTTGAGGGGAGAGTCCGCCCAGCTCTCTGACGGACGGGGCCGCTGGTGGATAGTTATCACGCATTCACGGGGTCGAGTGAACGGTCACGGCAGTGCAATAACAGTGTAAGCCAAGTCTGATACGGAGGTGAGTGTAATGTGAGCGGCATTGTGAGGAGCCGATTTGGTTACGACCACGAGTGCCGACAGCGTCAGCGGCATCCATGGACGTGTGAACGCATTGCCACTTTTGAGATTTGTATGTTTGTCATTCAGTTAGAAGTAGAATGTCAAAGGCAGTTCCTTCCCGCCTTAGCAGCTGAAATCAAATTCTCGAATTTCGACAGCGCGCTGGCGAAATTCGAGACTCGAAATATCAAGTACCTATCAAGTATCAGAACGGTGCACCGTTCTGATAGTCGAGACTTGATAGTGCGACAGTTAGGTGCGGTGTCTTACGAGTAGCAGGAAATAAATATCGCCCCTCTCCTCTTCTCACTCCGGGCTATAGGCTAGCATATTCGTTTCTGACCGATTACAGCTCGAAGTCTGTGAGAAGTCCCTCGGAAATCATAACTTAACCCTCGCGGGCGGAGGGGGCGTTTTTTACCCCCCCCCCCCCCCTGGCGAATATTTTCAGTAGGTCAGAAACGCCTGCTGGGGATGGAAAGACGTTTTAGAGTTTTAGAGATAATGACAAATTACGAGCACGATTGTGTAGAGTTTGACCTAGCAAAAAATACTAAAATAATTTGGGTGACCTGAGGTCAGAGGTCATGTCAACGACCCCGAGCTGGGGTTTTAGTTTTTCGCAAATATCTTCAACAAAGATTGTCCTAGAGCTACGGCAGTAGTACCATCGCATTATAGTCTCGTCAAGACGCGTCAAATGACATACATTTTGTTTGGAAAAGTTCAAGTTTTATGTTGACCCCATGTAACCTCGAATGACCTTTGGTTGACCTTGATACACGAAAGGTCGTTAATGATGAATTCGTAGTCGCAGATCACGAATCTGGCCTCCATTTTGCTCTAAGCATTCATTTAGAGCCTCAGGATGACAAAATATATAAATTATTATAGCTGACTTGAATCAGTGAAATACAGGGTGATTTTTTATACAGGGCAAAAAGTAAAGAGCAATGGCGCTACCAGAAAACACATCAACTGACAGCCAATGTATATCTTTGTAATAAGCACATTCTGACATTTCATTTGCACACACAAACTTTGAGTTTGTTAAGAATCCGTCCGTTCGTTGCGCCGGTATACTAAAAGAACATACATGGATTTGGCCTCAGTGCTGTATTGTGGTGCACCAGCTTCGACACCAACAGGCAATGCAATCTCGAGAGGCAGTCACCGTATCACCATACGATCGGGTACAATTGTGATATGGCACAAATCATATGCAACCCCTTGTTTTCCCTCATGTGCTCACGGAGGGGCTTACGGACAGCCCCTCTAATTTCGCCGTGAAACGTGTACCCAGGCGAAATGCACGGTTTTATGTAACTTGGGAATAGGGAGCATTGATGATGCAGCATAGACGGCGTCAATGAGATACACGTCTGTTATCTGCATCATGCAATGCTTCCGTCTGGATTTGGGTGCCAAAAAAAGGTTAAGTGTCAATTTAGGCCAAGTGAACCTCTCAAGAAAGGAACAACAAGTCCGTTTCCTGCACTCGGCGGCCACAAGTGCTACGGCCCGGAGAGCCCGGCAAGGCTACTCTGGAGGCTAACGCACATTGCGACCGACCCGGTCCAGACGAATGCTGAGACACGAGTGGCCCGCTCCTCCGAGACAGACCGGAGGCCACTGCGGGTCACGTGACATGTGAGCGACCGCCAATCACCGCGCCCGAGCGCCGCGCCCGCAAACATACTGCGCCGCACGGCACGCCAGCGCGACCGTAGCCGGGCGGCGACACACACGCGGCGAACAGAATTACGACCGCCGAACACAAATGAATTATTGCGCGAAAATGAATTATTATACAAACTCAACATACTCCCCACCAAAATGTGCGTCTTGGGAGCACATTTTAAAATACATGGGCACATCACTGACAAACTACTTAAAAACACTTCTCGCGCACCGGATTACGTCTGTCGCGGTCGCGCATCACTTGCGAAAGTGTCCATGTAGTGCGTGTGCGTCCGCATCCATCGCCCGCCAGATGCACCGAATGGCACGGCCCTTGCGCTTACGCACCGCTACGACGGTAGTGGGGCGTCACTGGCACTGCTCAGCGGCTGCACCCGTGGGCAGCCAGATGGGACGCATCAGCGTCCGCCACGATCTCTTGGATGCATGTACGTCGGCGACAGCTCCAGGGGGCAACACCCCTAGCTCGGCTGGCTCAGCACGGCGTTCCCCGTCGTGAGCGACGGAGTCGCCGACGTAGTCACCGGCAGCCGCGCCTCCTGCCACGAACCACGTCAGGTCAGCAGCACACGACACGTCCATGCTGTGGAAAAGAGACATGCGTGAAACATAGCTTTGAACAGTGCAGGAGGACCAATGGTTCGCGTGGAAGCCAACAGACTTGCCACGTCCCGAGCGGGCACGCTCAATGAGAACCCTAAGAACGAAAGGCTCGCGTGGAAGCCGACAAACTCTCCACGTCATGGGCGATCACGCTCATGAGAACCTTGCATCTGGCGAAGTTCAAGGGCGTTGGCAAATTATATCAACAAAAGTTAAATTAAATTCCTTAAAAAAACTAAATCAACTGTCCGGACTGAGTGCACACTGCACAGTGCACAGCTTGGAGGAGGAGTCCACGACTCCAACCTCACCCCCGACGCATTTGTTCTGGGGGACGTCCGGTCTGCCCAAACGGAATCCGGCAAGACCTCGGACGTGTCTCCGACAAGAACCACGAGCATGCTCTGCTCCTTTGGTCATTTGGGTTGACCACTTCAAAGACTTTCTCATGCACGTCTGACTGCAGGCATTGGAGTGCCCTTTGGTGGGGGGACCAGAAAGCTTCAAAGGCAATCGGCCTATGCAACAGCTTCTGGCCTTGCTCAAGATTCTGCCTCGTCTCGGCAGAGACATCCGGCAGATCAGGCGCTTGAGCAGCAGAACGGCTCCCCACCGTGCACGAGCCCACAGCGTCAGACTCGGAGAGTTCCATTGGTGATTGTTCATACTCAGCATCAGAGAGATCAACAGCTGCATTCGTCGGCACGCCATCGCCGTGCGTGTTGAACATGACAGCTTTCTCTCTGCTGAGACCATCTGGCAGTCGGCCAGGCAGTGTAGTAGACCTGATGGGCACAGGATGCTCTTCGGAGCTCTTCACCTGGCCCACCTCACGGGGTTCATCCACTTCGTTCCCTGCGGGCTCGGACAGGAGCCCTGGGTTTGAGACGACGGTCTCATCCTTGTCAATAATTCCAATAGTGCCCACGTCAAACGTCATCTCCTTTTGTTGACGGTGGCGAGCTGGATGATCGGGCTGATCATCGCCCTCAACACTCAACCCCGTCTCTCGGGGAGAGTTCTGTACTGGTGAGATGCTGGCAGCATCGGGTGACGGCTCTGCCGCCGGAACCACAGAGGGACCTCCTGACAAGAGGTCCGGATCGGGAAGCAGGAAGTGATGATACCGGTCGCATTCAACACAGGGCTCTGCTTCGCATACGCTTTGTTTAAGCTGGTGATGCCCCTGACGACACGCGCCACACGCCGTCATCCTCGGCCTTTGAGGTGGCTGTGTCCGTTTATTCAGGGGCTCACGACGCGTGGTCATGCTTCTCATGACAGACGGCGTCGAGGGTGGCACGTCGACGGAAACGGCCGATTCCGACACTTTGGCTGACTCACGAATCCGTATCTCTCGATTGAGAAATTCAATAAAGGCACCAAAGTCACCACTCTCCTTTCTGGCCCACAGCAGTCGCCAGTCTTCCGGAATCTTGCCTTTCACCACTGGTAGGAGGAGGCTCGAGAAGCTCTCGGTGGGCACACCGAGGGTGTTCAGAGCGCGTGTGTGAGCACAAAGGTGATCAATCAAGGATCGCATGGCCCGAAGGTCACCATGGCGGACTGATGGCATGTTCAAGAGCTCGCGCATCAAAAGCTCTCGCCGCAGCTCGCTGCGATCGAAGCGCTCTTTGAGAACTGCTACAGCCTGAGCATAGCCTGCACCTGACACCGGAATCCCTTGGATGGTGCGGAGCGCCGCACCGGCCAAATGCGACTTCAATACGACAAACCTTTGCACGTCAGCATAGACTGGGTTGTCGTGAACAGAAATTGTGAAGAGTTCCCAAAACTCGGACCATTTCATCACGTCGCCATGATAAGTGGGAATCCTCACTGTGACAGATGTCTTGAGGTCTGCATTTCCCATCGAATTTTGGGAGTCGACACTCCGAGCGGCATGTTCAGCTTTCTCGAGCCGAACGAGTAGCCTGGAGCCGAGAAACATCTCATCCTCCATGTTTTGGCTATGACTGGAATCGTCAGGCTGACCAAGCTTGTCGAGCTGGTCCTGGACATGCTGAAGCTCATTCTGCAGCTTCTCCAAGTGATGAAGTTTGAGAGCCAGCTGATCCACATCAAGTGCCTTTCGATCCCCCTCTCGGTATGACCTGAGGTCGTTACATTGTTTGGTTGCCTTTGAACGAAGCCTTGATCTGGTGCTCAACAAATCATCCATGTTGAACTAAACGGATTTCAACAAGAGGGGTAAAAGTGGACTGTATCAAACAATGTCTGTCCGGTTAACAAGGTACAAATTTTAAAACCGAAAAGACTATCCGGCCCGGAGGACTATGTTAAGAATCCGTCCGTTCGTTGCGCCGGTATACTAAAAGAACATACATGGATTTGACCTCAGTGCTGTATTGTGGTGCACCAGCTTCGACACCAACAGGCAATGCAATTTCGAGAGGCAGTCACCGTATCACCATACGATCGGGTACAATTGTGATATGGCACAAATCATATGCAACCCCTTGTTTTCCCTCATGTGCTCACGAAGGGGCTTACGGACAGCCCCTCTAATTTCGCCGTGAAACGTGCACCCAGGCGAAATGCACGGTTTTATGTAACTTGGGAATAGGGAGCATTGATGATGCAGCATAAACGGCGTCAATGAGATACACGTCTGTTATCTGCATCATGCAATGCTTCGGGCTTCCGTCTGGATTTGGGTGCCAAAAAAAGGTTAAGTGTCAATTTAGGCCGAGTGAACCTCTCAAGAAAGGAACAACAAGTCCGTTTCCTGCACTCGGCGGCCACAAGTGCTACGGCCCGGAGAGCCCGGCAAGGCTACTCTGGAGGCTAACGCACATTGCGACCGACCCGGTCCAGACGAATGCTGAGACACGAGTGGCCCGCTCCTCCGAGACAGACCGGAGGCCACTGCGGGTCACATGACATGTGAGCGACCGCCAATCACCGCGCCCGAGCGCCGCGCCCGCAAACATATACTGCGCCGCACGGCACGCCAGCGCGACCGTAGCCGGGCGGCGACACACACGCGGCGAACAGAATTACGACCGCCGAACACAAATGAATTATTGCGCGAAAATGAATTATTATACAAACTCAACAGAGTTTGAGCTCCGTTCAGGCTTACAGAACGTGCTCGAAGTGAGCACAGTTTTAATGCACGCAAGCCTGGAGTAATTGGCGATTTTGGGGAAAACATTTTGTTGTGCGCCATTTTCACGGAACTTCACAACAGAATGAGTCCCAAGAAGTCTTTAAAAGGTCCTGAAAACAAAATGACAAACAATTTCCTTTCACATGGATATACTTTTTTCGCGTTTGTTATATGTTTTGGTATCTCTAGGCTTAAAAACTTTTTATCTTGAATGGTTTTTAGCACAGTTTTGAGAGACATTATGAATATAATAAGAGATATTAACCTTACTCTCATATTAGCCAAAAGATATAAAATTTAAAAAAGACAAAATACAGTTTCGGGAGCTTTCGGCTTTGCGCCTTTATCAACCGTTATGTATTATTTAGATCATTTTCGTCACAAACTTGCATGGAACAGAAAATTCGAATTGGTACGAACATGCAGAAATCACACACGCACTTCCCAGCTACTCTTTAAAAACGCATCTTGCAAAACTTACAGACATAAAAGATTTATCATGAAGTGCAGAACAAGATAGTCATGTCGAAAACATGAGTCATACGTTCAGCGGAGATAGTATATATCGTGGGTACATCATCAATAATGGGTCCCGACCCCCCGACCAACATTGAAAATATGGAGATAAGCATATATGAGGTAAGTACATGCATGCATACGATAGCAGAAGTGTACAACAGCACAACCGCACGGCGCACACCCGCGTACACAAGTTTCCACGGTCAGTCAGTTTAGATATAATGACCACTCAGATGATAGGCCAAGACGAGGTTTGCGTGTTAAGAGTGGGTTGAAGTTCGCGAATAAAAATGGATTCCCAAATTTTTCTATCTGGGCCGTCTTTTGACGCATGCAGAATCTTGATTGAGACGTCTCACTTGAGTCTCAATTGAATCTCAATTGAGACACGTCTCAATCAAGATTCTGCATGCGTCAAAAGACGGCCCAGATAGAAAAATTTGGGAATCCATTTTTATTCGCGAACTTCAACCCACTCTTAACCCTATTAGTGGCAGGCTCCTGGCTATACCCTATTAGTGGCAGGGGGGGGGGGGCTGTTTACGACCCCCCTTGATATCTCGAGATATAACGGGCCGATTTTCAAAATTCAAACGGCATTCGATTTCGCTCAACGTGATCTACATTTCTAAAAAATAAAAATTAAAAAATGTCAATAGGGGGGGGGGGTAGAGGGGGGTAAAAACGGGCAAATTGCAGATACATTTTAGACTGTTTATCACGGCCAGGTTTCTGACCCAATCTTAACGCAACTTTTGCCGATCGATAGAGAATGAACCAGGAATTCACATGGATCCTAAAAATATGCATTTTCAAAAATCATAGGCGGATACAGATCATTGAGATTGGGGGTACACAAAAAGTATAGTAAATAAGGTTTTTGTTGGTACTGTTTCTAAAAAGGGTGGTAATGGTCTTGTTATGTTACAATTTTCTTATGAGAGAACGACTACAATTGTATTGGTCATGCATAGGCGGTGTCAGGGCACCTATGTTGGGAGGTAAAACATAACCCCCCTTTTTGGACGCCTGGATCCGCCTATTATAGCAAATACGTGTCAAAAGAGGATGCACAATAACTGTATATGTTATCACATGATACATTTCATTCACTGTTCGTAAAACTGGTGCAGCATCGTGATCTTCGCCCAAATGACTCGCTTCACGAATAGGACCCCCCAATTCCCAGTGCTCTGGAGCCGCTCCTGGTAAAGTTATGAACTTGAAATTTTCAGGGAATGTGCCCAATTTAGTTTTAGGAAAAGTCAGAAAATTTCAGCATCGTAGCTTCAGCGGTTTCGGAGATATTCCCGAAAAACCTGAGGGGTGGATAAAAACAACCCCCCCCCCCCTGCCACTAATAGGGTTAACACGCAAACCTCGTCTTGGCCTATCATCTGAGTGGTCATTATATCTAAACTGACTGACCGTGGAAACTTGTGTGCGCGGGTGTGCGCCGTGCGGTTATGCTGTTGTACACTTCTGCTATCGTAGGGGAGAGTGGGGTGGGTTGTATCAGTTTTTACTCCGAGACCCATAACCTCGTAACTATCCGTGATAAACTCATTATTTCCATACTATCCCCTTCCTTGATTCTTCTGCTTTTTTGTGCAAAGTAACTTTTCCGCTACCTCTACCAGTTTTTCTTCTACGATCTGCCGAATAGAACAATGTTTTTGATACAACTTGCCCCATGGCTTGGGTGAGTTGTATCACATGGTGGGGTAATTTGTATCACTATTTCACGTTTCAGGGAGTGTGCTTGCTACTGGTTTTGAACATAACAGCAACATTAAATGGGGTTAATACAATGTATAGGTATGCTCAAAGGCTTCACTTTATTAGACCAAACTTAGGTCAATGCAATCCGAGCGAAACATCAACAGACTAGACGCAAAAGTGGCCCGTTATAAGAGCAAAGAAGCCAACACATTGTGCCGAAATGGAACGAGCATTGACTAGCTACCTACAAACGCGAGCCAGGGCTTAGCTTTCGCGATCAAAAGCAACATACCCATACATACATACATACATACATACATGTTACAACATACCCCACCCGGCTCTGATACAACATGTACCTAGCCGTCATCTTGGAAAAACATCCTCGTGCTAAAAAAACAGCGGACAGCTGGAGAAATCCGTTTTCACTCACGTAGCCTTAGAACCTACCCTCACCACCGCTACGGAGATCTTTCAAATTCGTGCACATCTAAATGCCCAAAACACACATTTTCTTGCAACTTATTTTTTTAGAATGACATTAAAAAAACATAAAATCGGCTCTCACCTCGAGACGCGTCCACTCAGCCAAAAGACAGAACAGGGAAAGATGGCGCCCGGAAAACCTCGTCGGCTGGGCGTGTCGCGAGCGCCATCCATTGGATAAGTTTGGCACAATTCGCCCTGATACAACTTGGACATGATACAACTCTCCCCGCTCTCCCCTATATGCATGCATGTACTTACCTCATATATGCTTATCTCCATATTTTTAATGTTGGTCGGGGGGTCGGGACCCATTATTGATGATGTACCCACGATATATACTATCTCCGCTGAACGTATGACTCATGTTTTCGACATGACTATCTTGTTCTGCACTTCATGATAAATCTTTTATGTCTCTGTAAGTTTTGCATAGATGCGTTTTTAAAGAGTAGCTGGGAAGTGCGTGTGTGATTTCTACATGTTCGTACCAATTCGAATTTTCTGTTCCATGCAAGTTTGTGACGAAAATGATCTAAATAATACATAACGGTTGATAAAGGCGCAAAGCCGAAAGCTCCCGAAACTGTATTTTGTCTTTTTGAAATTTTATATCTTTTGGCTAATATGAGAGTAAGGTTAATATCTCTTATTATTAAGAACTTTTTGCCCTGTAAAAAATCCCCCTGTAGATACACTCCCGTGACCTTGGCCTTGTAGCAGCCTTTTATCAGGGACCCGATAATATCAAATGTCGAGGGCGCTTTTCCACGGCGCTGTAGCTTTATTGGCTCCAGAGTTATGCGCCAATTTCTCGAAAACTGTTGAACTATGCAAAATTTGGCCGTTGATGACCTCTGGTGACTTGACCTTTGGCCTGACATAAAAATGACTGAAGTATTTTGTTTTTATTTTTAACCTCTTCGAATGCCACTTATCGCGTGTCGCTACGTGACCCAAGCCGAGTAAGACGGGGCAAAACGCCCCCCCCCCCCAGCACGACACGGAAAACCCAGACCAGCAGCACACTGCGGGTTAAATGGGTTCCCAATTTTGCCTCAGCTGATGCCTCATGCAGCTTGCGCATTTATTGCAGTACAAATGGAAGGTTGAAATTAATAATGTGTAGTCCTCTCATCCTGCAGCAACATTGTTTTTCCATGGAATGTCATCAAACAAATGAGCAAACTGTTCTTATTGTAAATTTGTATGTCTTTGCAGGTGCAACACCATTCAAGAGGAGGCAGCAATGTCACCTAATCCCACAAAAGGTTTGCGAGACCTAAAAGGGGAGTTGAAGGGTCTGGAAGTGGACGAAAAGCTACTGGATATTATGAAAAAGTGGAACTGCCTGACAGAGAAACAAGCCACGGAGTTGCAAGAAACGCCGATGGCAAATCGGGTAGACAGCATGCTTTCCTTTCTGGACGGCAGAAGACCGAGGCATTGGTCGCTCATGATCTGTGTGTTTTTGGAGCTTGGTCGTGATGAGCTGGCCCTGAAAACCTGGAAAGCCGTGCAAACTCAGCTGAGGATGCAGCTGAATGTGACCAGCAGTCAACGACCAGACGCGATGGACTTCTGGGATGAGTTTGTTCGACGAATGCTGGCAGCTCTGGTGTTGGACCAGCATGAGAAGGATCGAGAAGGAGTGGCGGGCGTCCCGATTCTGAGTCTACCGAGCCCACAAAAAGAGACAGCCTCCAAAATATGGAAACAGATAGTAAATGAAGCTGCGGCGGAGAAAAACAAGCGTATGTGGATGTGGAAGATGTTAGCCAGTCACTTGGCTGGTGCAGTGAAAGCCAGCAGGTGTAAGCAGAACGCCATTGAATCACAAACTATTAAGGAGGTGTGGAACATTCTGATAGACAGTACACTCAAGCTGCTAAGAGAAGGACAGAGAGACCGCTGCTGTGTCATGTTGAGACACCTCCTAGAATCGGTCCGGACAGTCTTTGACGAAAAAGGGACGAAGTTCATCAATGATCGGATGATTGAAGTGTGTCATGAAATTCAAGGAAAAAGCCAAAAGACATTTGTGAATGACATTAGAAAGATGCTTATTGAACATTGTCGGCTTCTGCTTGAGAAGGACCATCAAAAAGCGGCGAAAGACGCAATACTGCATCTCATCGAAAGCACTGGTACACTTGTGGAGACCATGACAAAGACTGGCGCCACCAAAGCTGCTCTTCGTCTGTGGAAAGAACTAATCGAACAGATTTGCGGCCTTCCGTCAAAAAACAAACCGATAATAAAGGATGAACTCTACAGGACAGTAACAGAGCTACAAAGGAAAGGCATTGACTCCCAGCTTTTGGAAGGCATGCGGGCTTCTATTCCAAGTGATTCATGGCCCAATACACCTCCTCCAAAACCGTCGACCAAAGCTTTGGTCGGGTCCGACCCTGGTCGCTATCGTTTCAAACCTGGAACAACCAATTTAGCTCTCGTCATCAACAACGTGGACTTCATCGAGAAAGAAGAAAAAAGGTGCGAGGGAGAAGGAAGGCCGGAGGAAGAAGAAAAAGAGGGGAAAAGATCCGAGGAAGAAGAAAAGAAAAAAGCAAGGCGCGATGGTAGTGAGATGGATGAGCTGGCGCTGACGTTCCTTCTGAAAAGACTTGGTTTTCATGTGAAACAGATGACAAATCTTACCAAAGATCGTCTTCTGGAGGAGATAAGCGCATTCGCCAAGCGTCCTGACCATGAAGACGCGGATGCAGCTGTGCTGGCGGTTATGACGCACGGTGTCAATGAAGCGCTGGAGGGACACGACCGTGAACTACTCTCTTTCCAGTCGGTGATCGATTGTTTCTGCGACGAGAACGCGCCGAACCTGGCTGGTAAGCCAAAGTGGCTGATTTTCCAAGCGTGTCGCGACAAAAGCGAAGAGGATGAGCGCAAGCGAGATAAGCCAATCAGTGAAGGGGGTATGTCTTACAGCGACATGTTCGTCACTTACACTGCTTTGCCGGGTCGTAAGGCGCTACGCAACAATGTTCAGGGCGCCTGGTATGTACACGCCCTCGAAAAAGCGTTCGACACGTCACTGTGCGAATTTTCCTTACAAGAGATCCACTCGGAAGTGCTGAACAACATGCTTGCTATGTGGAATGACGACAGATGTAAAGAAGAAATCGAACAGCCAACGCTGGATATCCAACGTCTTGGATGGACAAAAAGGCTGTATTTCAAAGAGCCAGACGATAAACGCGAGGTGCATGTCGAGCCCGAGAGCTTCACTTCCAGTGCAACGACTCGTGATCGGGGATGCGAAGCGACGACAGCAACGCCGTCAACCTCTCTTTGTGCTACAGCGGACCTGTTTGCTGTAGCGCGCACCGGAGAGTGTCAGTCAGAGAGCGGACCTGATCATCACTCTGACCCGTACAGCGGATGGAACTCCGGATCACACAGCTCAGAGTCCGGCCGCTCTGCGCCGGCCGAGAGCCGTGGCGTCGAAGAGGCTATGAGAAGTCCAACGCCTCAAAACAGCGGCGTCGGTGCAAAGGTTGACAACGTACTCCAGCTGCTGGCATCCATCTCACAGGAACAGCACGACTTTCGCACGTTCGTCACATCTCAATTCCGCGCTCTCAATGACCGCTTACGGGAACTCGAGCTGCGCGTTGGGGAGCGGGACACCCAAGATGCGGAGCGGAGCTCCCCCCGCTGAGGAAAGGGGCACATGAAAGAGAATGCGAAGTCCGACCTCCAGATTCCGTGCCTAATTCTGTCGGGTGGTGCTGACTGCTAAGGCTTCCAATCGTTCAATCAGCCGGGGAAGATACATATGTCTCGATATCTGATCGGTCACATCCAGCCCCGGTGCGGGGCTGCGGTCGCTCTAACTTATCCGCTGCGGCCTGGCTGCCACACTAGCCGGCGCGGCGCGCCGTGGCGGGCTGCGCGGGGATGTTGCGCGCGCGAGGCAGTCGCAACAGTCAGATAGTGGGTGCGGGAGATTATTGTGCGTACTGTTTTGAGCTGTTTGTGCTCGTCTGCCCGGCCTTGACTTTTCCGGTAAGCCCCGGAAGGCACTTTGTTTACCTGTGAACCAATTGGGTCTTTTACTCTTTCATATATGTCAAAAGTGTTGCGTTCACCTATATTTATAAATATATGTGATTGTAGGCATTTGTTTACGTGCATCATCACCAGTGTTGTTCGTTGGAAATCACCGAGCTGATAGCCACGTGATATGTACGGTGCAACTGAGACAGCGTGCAATCCATTCAGCTACAGCCGCATCTCAAACATGTATGTACACCCAGACATGCTTGATTGCCGTATATGTACACTGGAAGTGGACACGCTAACCAGCTGGTCGAGCAGATCGAAGTCACGAGGTGAGTGCTATTTGTATGATACCTATACCTAGTTACGTTACACAACTTAAAATTTGACATCCTATGGCCTATGCATGCAGCTTATTACTCAATCTAGTAGTTTGATGCATCCGCGTGGTGAGTTATTTGATATAGTAGCATTATCTGCAAGTGTGATTGATTTGTGAAGAAAAAAAAATTGTGTGTTCCAACAGGAGGTGGCATGGCCCGGGGCCCCAAATCATGCCTACCAGGATTGGCCAAACTGGACAGTTTCAAACTGGCCTTGATAGCACGTATACACAGTCCGTCATCACCGCGAGCCGATGTGTTGCGCATGCTAAAAATAGTGCGCCGCAGTGTATGCAGTGACACCGGTCGAACTGTAGGTAAAAGCACACGAACCTACGCGCGGGAGCCTGCAGTCAATGTGTGGCACAGGGCCCTGATCAGCTATCTCCTTAGCCACACGCGGTCCTACCTGTACAAAGTACCTACTCATTCATACAGTCGGCGGACACGGAGGGCAGCGTGCGCTCGCCGGACGTTTTCCCTGCTATGACGTCTCGCGTGTGGCGCCACATAGACGAGGACCTCCTGTTCCTTTACACGTCGGCACACGTCAGCTCGGGTGTCCCGTCGAATGGCCGATCTGACAGCGCGGTTCAGGTGGCCATACTCGGTCGACCTGTGACCCCACACTCTCAGTGCGCCGCGGCGGCGGGCCATTAGGTCACGGGTCTCGTGGGACACCGGCGGAGCGGTCGGTATTGTCACAGTTTTTAGTGGTGCGTGCCGGTCAATAACAGGTGAAAACACGTACAAAAACAGTTTTCCATTTTTCAGAAGCGGAAGAAGCCCCAAAAATCGGCGACCAAATACCAATTTACCTGCCTAAGATCAGCGTAAAAGCATGAAAGATCAATGCTATTAACTGAGCCATAGACCACTATATACTAGAGATGTCAATCGGATACCAACTTCTTGGTATAGGTACCGATACCAAACCGATACCAACTTGGTATTTGGTATTGCAATCGTAATGTGTTTGGTGTTTTGTTGGTATCATAAACCCTCACTAATGTATAAGAGGCTAAGAAATCGGTAAAAAGTTGGCATTTCCCTCATTTTCCCAAGTTGGTTTGGTTTCGGTATTTTCCCGTGTTTTTGGTTGGTATTTGGTTTGGTATCGGTATTCCGATTTTCCATAATTGACATCACTACTATATACCTATATAGTGGTCTATGACTGAGCGAGTCTGGGCTTTAAATGGCTTAATGCAGGGTCTGCTGGTTCTAATGAAAGTGCGTATGAACATATGAGGACTAAAATGACAAAAACGATCACCGCTGCGGATAAAAGAATCAGGTCGTTTAGCAATACAAACGTCTAAGAGAGAGCGAGTCCTGTAAGTATGAGATCGAATGGATTGATGAAAGCCAAAATCTGATAGGAACTGTGAGAGACGGCGGCAGCCTACGTCGGAATCAGGCTTGAGAAGGTCACAGTTCAGGTCACCACAAATCAGCACGTCAGTGTTTGGGTGATCAACAAGCTGAACAAGCATGCGTTGGTATTGCGTTTCTAGGTCGGTAAAGTCTGATGAGACGGCGGCCACAGAGCGATTAGGCGGTCGGTATGCTGAAGCCACTATCAGCTGCCGACCTTTGTCCATGTTTCAGGAGCACCCAGAGAGTCTCTAGAGCGCTGTCCGGGCGCCGCCGTTCCGGCACTTCCAGTCTTGTGGCGTCGATTCCACACCTGATGGCGAGTGCCACTCCACCGTAGCCACGACCGTCTGGTCGGTCCGAGCGGTAGAGCTGGTAGCCGGGCAGCACCAGAAGTCGACTGGGAGTGGATGGTTTAAACCAGGTTTCCTGAAAACCATGACGTCATAGTTGAACCGGTGCAGCTCCTGGGACAGCTCCAGCAGTTTCGGCTTCACTGACTGGATGTTGAGCGAGCCGATTAGCAGCCCAGCGTGGTCACTTCCGCCCTCTCTCTCCTCGCCGCCTCCGCTCTCGCGCCGAGCGCGGGCTGGGCGCACCTGGGGGAGACGATGTCGCAGCTCCGTCCCCGCCCGCCGCCCGCTGGGGAGGGGTGACCCGGTCGGCCCGATCGGCGCTCCGCTGCGCTGTAAGGCAGACTCGTCACGGGCCAGCTCGGAGTCGGCTGTTCCTCGGTCCCACGGACCCCGACCAGTGACAGGGCCGCCAGCACGGCCCCCGGCGCCGCCAGCCGTCGCCACTGCACATCCCAACGAGACCACGCCATGCCGCACAAACCCCGCACCGCGGCCAGACGCACCAGTTGCTCTCAAACTGGGTCGGCCGCGGCGTGATGGACTGGGAGAACCTCCGACGGTAGGGTGGCCGGTACACGTGTCCTTCGAGTAGCCCGGGGGCGGACTGGCCGGCAGCTCCCGGCGTCCCGCAGCAGTCGGAGCTCATGTGATGCAGTAACGCGGCCCCGCGGGTACCGCCCGGCCGCAGCCAATCACAGTCACGGGAGACGGTCACGGACAACAGGCGGGCCATGGCCAGCAGGACGAGCAGCCGAAACAGGTCACGATGCATGGTGGCTGCAGAGACACTGTCTAGTATCTACGGTGCGGGATAACATCAATGTATGGTCGAGCTTACGACGGCCACTTGCTGGGGCATTCCACGTCAAATCGAACAAAAATCGGCTGTTTTGCACCTTACCATCAGCGATTTCATTATAAATTTGTGAGCGAGTTCCTGTGTGACCCCGGACATTACATTGATGTTTTTTTGCACATTCTGACCACAGGTCTTCTAAATATAGGGCATCAAATTTTTACAAAATGTTGCATCTTATGATCTTTATATTTTTGAACGACCATAACTTTGGTTGTACTTGTTTGATTTCAATGAAATAAACCTTACTGTTTAGGTTATTTCTTAAGCATTTATTTAGAATTGCACCTCCTTAAATATATGACCTTGAAATTTGCTTAACTCTGTTCTTAAGCACAAATATTGAAATAGCAAAAAACACGTCACCTTCGATTTGGCTCATTTTCATATATTTTATTGCCTACCATATTCTTAACAACCTGTGAAAAAATTAGAGTGGGCCATTCATAAGTTTTGAAGAAAATTGCACAAATGCAAACGTATGTTAGCACGCGCACTGGAGGGGGAAGAGCGAATTTCGCCCACCCCTCCTGTTTTTCGCCAATATCTCATAAGATTAATGCGAAATTAATTATGGCTACCTGTCAAGAATTGAATTGGACATCTCATCGTGCAAGCAATAAGAAAATCGGTTCACAACTGTTCTAGTAATAGCGGTGTAAAGTGAACATCCTGTCGCCGCAGCGACGCGGCGACTCGGCAGCCGGCGCCGACCGCTACGCGCCGCCTGAATTGTAGACTGTGCCGGGAGGGAACGGAACGGTTCCGTCTTTACATCGCGCTCCCTACCGCTGATTACGTTCGATTCGCGTCAAATTTTGTGAGAATACTAAGAAATGTACAGGCAATCTTATGGTGAAAGAATTTTGAAAATCAGTTGGTAAACAATTGAAATATGAACGTGTAAACACAAAATTGTGATTGCTGCGTTTCCCGCATCAACTTAAACGGCCTTGCCCGCATCGGCCGAGCCCGCCTCAGCCGGCGACATGTTACTCTTAGCAGGCCTCTAACTGCCATATTTATTATTGGATTAACTAGAAATTCCCCATACATACTAAAAAAAATGTATGTTCTTTCGTATAGTGAAGATCAAAAGACGTGAAGATATCGTTGCGTGAAAATGTTTTCGTTGAATTTACTTCATGATGCATTTCCACACGGCTCAAAATTCACCGCAAAATACCGTTTGCCTGAGACACTTTTACTATGGAACGTGAATGCTTGACTACGATGACTATGCATTTCCATTCTCGCAGAGTTTGGGATATCACTAATCAGCAATCATTCATTTCAGAAAGTGTACACAAGCAAGCATGTCTTGACTCTGTCTTTCAAGGTCACGCGCGGTTGCGTGATGTTGATGCATGAAAACGGCGTTTGCCGCGAAAGTTATGAATGGCCCACTCCAATTTTTTCACAGATGGTTAGGAACATTGTGACGGACATAATATGTAAAAATTACCCAAATCGAAGGTGACGTGTTTTTTGCTATTTAATTTTTTATGTTTTAATTCAAGGTCAAATGCATTTCAAGGTCACTTCAATTTAATTTTATAATTAAAAATCAAAGCCTTATCAATTGCCTATAAGACCCTGTTAATATCATTTTGATACCAGAAAAGGAACCAGAGTTATAGCCATTTAAAAAATTGATGTGTGGCATTTTTCGCTATATTCGATGACCTATATCTCAGCCATACGTTATCAAATTTCGAAAATATTATACGTAGCTCAGTTTTGAACCATGCCCAGTCTGCCTACAAATTTTCAGAAAAATCGAAGGGGGTGACGGATTTCGGTGTTTGATTTGACGTGGAATGCCCCTGCTACGCGGACACAGAAATTGATAAGCTTTGTACCTATGCGCTGGAGTTGGGCTGCACCGTGTGAATACCATATTTTGACTATACGATCTTTATATCATACGATCATTTGGCGTACGATCATTTACCTCTAAGATCTTTTGCGAATACGATCTTCCGTCCATACGAACATTATACCTACTGTATGATCTTTATTCCAAACGATCTTTTGACATACGATCATTTTCCTTGACGATCTTTTGCAAGTACGATCTTTTGTCCACACGAGCATTATGTCGCACGATCTTTATCCATTACAACCTTTTTGGCATACGATCATTTT